CGGCCCCCCCAGAGGGCCCCCGGCTGGCGCGGACAGCCGCGCCGCCCGGGCCGGCAGGAAAGGTCCGCTGCGCCGCGCTCCCTCCGCCCGCCCGCCCGCTGCGAGGAGCCCCGATCCAGCGGAAATCCGTGCGCTCCCATGCCGGATGCGGCGCTCGCAGAAGCGCTCTCCGGCGGCGGGCGAGGGGGCGGAGGGAGGCGGCGGCGGGCTCCGATGGTAGCGGGGGCAGCGGGAGCCTTCGGTGCTGGGGGCGGGCGAGGGGAGGAAGCGCCCGCCGCTCGCCCGCCGCTCGGGGTCGGGGTCGGGAGGCACGTAAGTAGCCCGAGTGTCGCCCCTCTCTCTGCGGTGCCGCGGGGCTTCGCGCTTCCTCCGGGGGGGCCGGGATATTTTCAAGGGGCCGGTTGTCACCGGAGGCAGCGCTCCCTTGGGAGCTCCAGCTGGCTGAAGAAGACGCCCCCCACCCCCGCCGCCCCATCTCCCGAGCCGGGGAAGGGGGCATCCGCGCCCGCGCCCCGCGCTGAGCAGCCCCCTCCCACGCACAGATCCATGCAGGGGCTAGAGGGGCGGGTGCTCCGGGGCCGGGGGGGGCTGTTTAGATACGGTTCGGGTTTGCCGCCCCCCACCGCTTCGGCAGCCTTCTTTTGTCTGCCCTCCCCCTTCCACTCTCTCCCCATTTTTTATTTTTTTATTTTTTGCAACAGTTTTCGACTGCAGAAAGAGAAAAATGGTCGGTTGGCACGGAAGAGAGGCGGCTATGAGGCAGAGCCCGGTGCTCAGGAGCCTGGTGACGCATTCCTAAGGAAACGTGGGATCGAGCCCACGGCTCCGGCCCCGCTCCCCCGGAGAGCAGCCCGCGCAGAAACCCCCCTGCTTCACCCTCCTGATCTCCCTTCTCGTTCCGGAGTAAGCAATTGTGGGGAGAGCCGTGGGGATGCTGGCCGGTGGGCCGGCCGGCCGGCCGGCGTGGAAGCCACCCTTGGAAGGGGATGCGGATAAAAGCGGCTCCGCCAGACTCAGTGGAGCGAAACGGGAGGCTGGCGGGCCAATTCCGCTGAAGCACCGGTCCCGGCAAGGAGGGTGAACGCTGCCCATTTCGCTTAATTAGCGGTTTTGTTCACTTGGCGGCGCAGAACGTTTCGTGTTTGCGTTGCCCCAGAATGATGTTTTACGACCCGCGAGGCTGCCTTCCTCAGCCTGGTGTCCTCGGAACGTGCCAGGCCCCCCTCCCACGCCGGGCGTTAAATTGGGGAGGGGAGCCAGGGGCAGGCAGCTGCATCCCTGCCCAGCTCCCCCCCACAAAGCCACGGATGTGCCCCATGCCAGGGTCCTCCCGGAGACGCCGCCGTGGGCCCGTGAGACAGCCACCCCGGCCCCTCGCATCCGTGGACAGTGCCGTCTGTCTGTGTGCGGGCAGGCGGGCTCTGGACTGCGGGGGCCACAGGTGCCGGCTCACGGGGGGGGGAAGCGCCCTCCCCCTCCCACAGATCCGCCGCGTCCCCGGCCTTCGGTGCGTGACTGTGTCTGGAAGCGTTGCTCGAGCCATTCTGTATTTACGTGCTGGCGGCCTGCTCTGACTCTGCCTGAGCCAACCTGCCCTGTAAAAGGTGTAGTCCTTCCCGAGGTTAGTTTGTGCCTAGCAGAAGGCCCCTGCCGCTTTACCTTGCTGGTGTTTGATGCGGCAAGCCCGAGTTGGGCATCGGCGTGTAAGAAGAGCGCCGCTAGATGGAGCGAGGGGTCCCTCTGCGCCAGGGGTCCGTTGCCGCAGCGGCCAGGCAGAGGTCTCCAGGGAGCCTTCACGGCAGCGACACGGTCCCGGGGCCCAGCCCGGCAGGCGGGCTGCCTTGGCCCCCAGCTTGCCTGTATCTGGCCGTCCAAAGACCACCCCCCAAACTTGTCCAGGGCTTCTTTGCATCTATCCAAGACTTCCCAGTCCCCCCAGCTGGCTGGGGAACCAGGAGAGTCCGGCACATCAGGAGAGCCCCCGTGGGGCCTGGAAGGACGCCTGGACCGCAGATCTCACAGCGAGGCCTTTCCCGCATTTCTCCTGACTCCCCTGCCACTTGCTTCGTGGGGTGACCTCATTCCAGGGCTTTAGGAGGCGGCGCAAGCACGAGCAGCACCCACTGCCCAGGCTTCTTGGATTCAAAGCCGGGGCCTGCCTCCAGCCCGCCCCCTCGGGCCGACAGCCCCCCTGGTCCCAGAGCAGCCGAGCCGAGGGCTCGCGTGGCACCCAAGCCACCATGGCTGCCTTGCCGGGGCCAGGGGTGGGGGGCCGGGACCGCCCATTGAGTCTGGTGGGGAGCAAAGGCGGTGTCTCAGCACAGCAGCCTGGGGAGCTCCTGGCGGAAGCAACGCCCCTCTTCTGCTCCACACTCACCTGCCGGGAAGGGGAGCAGTGGGAGGGGCCTGGACAGCCCCGCCCTCAGGGGAGGGGCCTGCAGAGGCCACACGTGCCGCTGGGGCTGCTGTCCGTAGCCATGACTCCTGCGCCTTGCCCCCCCGGGCTCCCCCTGCCCAGACGAAGGCGCTGGTGGGAAGGGGCAGCAGTGGGCGCCTGGCGCTCTCAGGGGCCTCCCTGCCAGAGGGCAACAGGGGGAGGCACAGTGGAGGGGGGGCAGTGGCAGCGGGAAAGCAGCCTCCTGAGGAGCAGCTGGGGCCCCTCGCCCGGGAGCTGGCCCTGCCCTGAGCCCCAGCTGCGCTGCCGGCTCACTTCTCTCTCTGCTTCCCAGGCGGACAAGATGCTGTAGGCTCCTGAGCGGCCTCTAGCAGTGCGCCGAGTCTTCCCGCCCCCTCGCAGCCATGCCGCCTCGGCCCTCGTCCGGGGAGCTGTGGGGGCTCCACCTCATGCCCCCGCGGATCATGGTGGACTGCTGCCTGCCCAACGGCATGATCGTCACGCTGGAGTGCCTGCGGGAAGCCACCCTCCTGGGCATCAAGCACGACCTTTTCAAGGAAGCCAGGAAATACCCCCTCTTCCACCTGCTACAGGTTAGCCGGAGCAGGGCCCGGCTCCCCCACAGGACCCGGGGGGACCCCTGGACTCGAGGGCAAGGGAGGGTGGGACTCGCGGCTCCCGCGTTCCTTGTGCAGGCATCGGCGAAGAGCCGTGTCCCAGCCCGAGCCACGGTCCCCTGCTTGCTTGCCCCTGCCCGGCAGCTGGGGCCCAGGGCAGGGACAGGCAGGCCCGAAGCGCTGGCAGGTGCCCTCGCTGCTTGGAGCCCTGCTGTACCCCACCGCCGCCGCCAGACGCGGCCACGTCTCTGCTCCAGCGGCTTCCCCCTCGTGGCAGCCCGTCAAACAGCCCCGCAGGGGCCCGCCGCTCAGCCGAACTGCTAGGATTTCGGTGGCCGTGGCACAGACCGGGGGGGTGGAGTGGGGGTGCAGCGCTGCGCACCGTCTGCCTGCTGCTCCCCTCTGGTCTGGTAACAGAACCTGTGCCTGAGCCCGGAGATGCTCTTTGTGTTTCCTCCTTGAACTCAACCCCTTTGAAGCTGGTGCCCTTTTCCCGCGTTCCCGAAGGCCCAGGGCTCTGAAGGTGCTGCGGCTTTCGCGGCGATTCCTTCAGGAGGAGAGCTGGGGGTCGCACCCCTCTGTGGCGCTCAGCTGAACCGTGGTCCAGCTGGGCCTGTGTGCGTTTCCTCCTCCCCCCGAGCGATCCCCTGGTCGGCCAGCCGGGCACTTCGCCGGCCGCCGTTTGGTTCTTCCCCTGCCGGAACGGCTTCGTGGGAACTGATGGTCCACAGCATCTTTAAGAACCACGACCGAACTTATTCCATGTCCGCCTCCCTCCCCGTTCCTTTTTCTTTTCTGCACCCCATATGCATGTCTTATTTGGTATTGGCCCTACATTAGAAACATAGAAACAGAGCGAGGCAGAAGGGGTCTCCCGGGCCATCTAGTCTGACCCCCGGCTGCAGCTGGCTCCGCTCACGATGTGCTGTTCTGGGGCCCTTCTTGGTAGAGCTGTGGGGTCAAAATGCTTGAAATGCAGACCAGAAATAAGCCGGGGATCTCGTGAGTCGCTGCAGGAATCGCAAGGCCCGGACATGTGTGGCGGGAGCATGGGGCCTGCCTGACGCTGAGCCTGCCCTGGGCCCCTCTAGCCTGCTACTGCCTGCACTGGCCGGCAGCAGCACCTCTACCCCCGGGGCTTCAGGTGCGGCTCTTTCCCAGCCCTCCCCGGATGCTCCGCCAGGGAGCAAAGCCGGCTGCCTGCGTGCGGAACGGGCTTGGTGGCCGAACGACAGGATTGCCCAACGAACAACGGGAGGGAGGGAGGGAGGGAGGCCTCTTGGGGGAACGGTCTTATCTGTTCCTCTGTGGTTCCCCGACCCAGGAGGAGTCCTCCTATATTTTTGTGGGGGTGACGCAAGAAGCGGAGCGGGAAGAATTCTTCGACGAGTCCCGGCGCCTTTGCGACCTGCGCCTCTTCCAACCCATCCTGAAGGTCATTGAGCCGGTGGGCAACCGAGAGGAGAAGATCCTCAACCGAGAGATTGGTGAGTCCGGGGCCGGGCTGGGCCGGGTGGGCTGGGGGCTGCGGGCGGAAGGGGGGCTGCCGCCGGCGTGCCCTTGCCGAGGGCCCCCACGTGCCCCCTGCTTCTTTGCACCAGGGTTCGCCATCGGGATGCCCATCTGCGAATTCGAGTTGGTCAAGGACCCCGAGGTCCAGGAGTTCCGGCGAAACATCCTGTCGGTCTGCCGGGAGGCTGTGGAGACGCGGGGCTCCGCGGGCCCCCAGAGCCAGGCCTTGTACGTCTACCCCCCCAATGTGGAGTCCAGCCCAGAATTGCCCAAGCATATCTACAACAAGCTGGACAAAGGTAGGCTGCGGAGCGTTGGGACGTGGGCAGTGCAGGTGGTTGGCGTGTGAACAGGAGGGTTTTGACCTGCGTGTAGGCCAGGGATGTGGGAAGGGGGGTGTGTTGTGGGTTTTCTTTTTTTTTAAACTAAAGCTTAGCTAGTTAAAATGGGAAACGCACGGTTGGAAGAAAGATAAAAGGCAAGTTTTCCTTAAACGACCCCGACGGAATCGTTTTCTCTGTGATTCTCTAGAAAGATGGCTTTATTTTTATTGGCATGGCATCCTCTTATGCCCCCTTGACATGGGTCATGTGTCTGAGTCAAATCGCTCCCCTTTCTGCGGTTAGTGAGTGGTGATGCACGGCCCGGGCGGAAGGGCCAGGAGTAGGCGGCGGTGGAGCCACGGAGGGCCCCGTTCCCACCTCGCCGCCTCCCCGAAGCTCCAGGAAGGCCGCTTCCCCTCCCCGCCACCCCCCCGTGGCACACAGCATGGAGAGTCGCCACAGAGGCCCGCTGCTCTGTCCCGAGTCACAGAGCGAGAGGTGGAAGGGGGCGAAGGGATGCTGGGGGGGGCCACTGGGGAGCTTGGCCAGGAGGGCGGGAGGGCTGCGGCTTGCGGGCGGGGGGCTCTCCCATGGCAAAACCCCCAAGATTCCTGCTCACTGCAGGAGCAGCACAGCCGAGAGGCTTGGGGCGTCTTCAGACGTTAGCTCTGGCACGTGCTTCTGAGAGACGCGGGCATTTAAGCCTGCCCAGATGAGGCTGGCATTCTGTGCCGCCGGTGGCGGTGGAAGCGCCTGCCCGTCGAGGGGTGCAATCGCCCGGTGCGTGCGGGGCGCTGTGGGATTATCTTCTGCCTGAACCTGCACCGTAACTGGCTCAGTCTTTCGGGAGCAAAGCTGTCCTAAAACAGGGTGGCCAAGGAGCGCTGGCCAGGTGGCACGAACGGGATTTCACGAACGGGATTTCTCCCCGGCCCTTTGCAAGGGGCAAGCCGGGCTGGGCCAAGTCAGCCCAAGCGGCAGAGGGCCCTGCTTCGCACGGTTGTGTGCCTGGCTCTCGGGAGGGCGGCCACGAGGCCAGGCGGGGGACAGGGCCTCTCCCGGAGCGGCCCCACCCGCGGCCTCCTGCGTGGGCCCCCCGGCCACGCGGGCTCGCCCAGTGGTGATCTCCTGTCCTGCCTTTCCCTCCTCCTGTCTCCTGAAGGTCGGATCATAGTTACCATTTGGGTCATTGTGTCTCCAAACAACGACAAACAGAAATACACGCTCAAGACCCCGCACGACGCGCTGCCGGAGCAGGTGATCGCCGAGGCCATCCGGAAGAAGACGCGCAGCATGCACCTGTCCCCCGAGCAGCTGCGCCTGTGCGTGCAGGAGTACCAGGGGAAGTACCTCCTGAAGGTGTGCGGCTGCGACGAGTACCTGCTGGAGAAGTACCCGCTCAGCCAGTACAAGGTGAGGCGCCCCTCCCCTCTCCCCGCCAGCCCCCGGTGTGGCTTCCCCGTGCCCCTCGGTGTCAGCGGAGGAACGGCCCGCCGCCCCCCCCCCCCGGCTCCAGAGCGGCCTGCAGCAGAACTGGCCCTGAGGGCGGATTGCTCTTCTGCCGCAGGCCCTGGGTGCCACGGAGCCTCGGTGGGGAGGGGCCAGTGAAGGACGCCCAGGCCTCAGCGGGAAGGGAGCCAGAGGAAGGCAGGACGCGCTCCACGGAGCCAAGCTCAGGGAACCCGGGTTCAGCTGGGATGCCAGGAAGCACTTCCTGACAGTCAGGACCCCAAGGGCGTGGAATGGGCTTCCACGGGAGGTCGTTGAGGCCCCATCGGTGAAGGTGTTCAAGGACAGGCTGGATGTCCACATGGTGGGCATGTCGTGAGCGGAGCCGGCTGGAGCCAGGGGTCAGACTAGATGGCCCGGGAGGCCCCTTCTGACTCGCTCTGTTTCTGTGTTTCTTTGTTTCTATCACACACTCCCTTCCCATCAGGTTCAGTGGCCACAAGGGCACCCGCACAGGCCAGAACACGCCCAAAGCAGGGAGATGCCCCCCGCCCCACATTCAGGGAGGTGGGATGGGTGTCGGGGCGGTCCTCAAGGTGCATTTGGAGGCTTCCGGTGGGGCACCAACTCCAGGCGGCGTCTGCATGACCCACAAGAGCACACGGCCCCCAACGTGGCGCCAACTCCGTTGCCCCACATTTTGCTGCCAAAGCCCATCCAGGGGGTGGAATTGATCTTCACATCCCTAACAGAGGTGGGGGAAGCTAAGGGGCCGTCCCCACCTCCTCTCCACCCTCCCTTAAGCCGTAGGCATGGGGGCGTGGGGACAGGGCCCCGCCGATGGATGCGTCCAGCTCTGGAGCTCCCTGCCCTTCGCACCTGCCGTCACGGGAAGGAGAGCCAAGTCCGGCCTCTTCCAGGGGAGTTCGGGACAGCTGGTTCTGCCACGCTTCCCACCCTGCCGCCTCTGCTTCCCCCGCTGCGGCCGCGGCCCTTGAATCGGACCGCTTGCCCCGTGCCTCTCGGGTCAGCCACTTCAGAAGTTCAGGTTGAATGAAAGTCAGGGCTCAGTGTTATAAAATAATAAAATGAATGCCCGGAACGCGTCTCCCTCTCCTTTTTGATGTTTTCAAGAAGGGAACCTGAGGAGCCTGAACTTCTCAAGCTGATTGACATATTACAAGTTAACACATCACCGGCTAAAGAAGAGAAAGCAGAGAATAGGTGGCAAATTCTTGTGAGCTGCCCAGAGAGCAGTTGCTCCTGGGCGGTGTAGAAGTGAAGGTGGCGGTGGAGGTGATGGTCGTTCCTCCCAGTGAAGGAAGAAAACGGGGATCTTTCTCAGGGCCAGAGCTTTTCAGCTGTTTCAAAATGATCTGTAATTAGGAGTGAGCAGTGAGGGGTGCAAGATTACAGAGGACAAATAAACCATTTAGGGCAGTTGAAACCAACGTGGATTGCGCAGAGGTGCCAGAGGGTGCCTTCAGCACTGGGAGAAGGGCGTCGGATTGGTGAATATGGTTCAGGATAAGCAGGCACAGAATAATAGATGTTGGGTCAAACCCCACGACTTGGAGTACCGATCCGAGCTGGCAGTAGCCGGCCAAGAACGAGATTCTAGCTTGTGATTTTAAAACTGATTTTAGGACAACTTGATGAAAATTTCAACCCCGTATGTGGCTGTTGTGAAAAAGGCAAACTACATGTTAGGAGAGACATGGAAAATTAAATAAAACTGACCATGTCATACGCCCGTATGCAAATCTGTGGCGCAACCGCATGCAAAATGTTGTGTGCAGTCTGGTTGCCACACCTGAAATGAGGACGGGGTTTCAAGGAGCGGGTCCCCACGGAGAAACCGCAGCCACTGAGCCGGCCTAAGGGGAGGCATGTCAGACCTGCAGGCTTACCCCAGGCGTGATACCAGGGCCCGGGGCATCCCGTGAGGCTGCGGGGTGGGAGGTTCGGGACAGATCAGAGGAGCCCCTCTTCACACAGCGCAGAGGCCAGCAATGGAACTCGATTCCAGAGGAGGCGGCGGCGCCACCGGCGTGGGCGCTCTGGGCCCGGCCTGGCCTTGCTCCCGCGGGAGGGGGCTCCCAGCAGCCACGGCTCCGGGGGCCTGCGCTCCCTGCGGTGCCAGCGGTGCTCTACCTGGGAACCTGTGCGGGCGGGGGCCCTGCCTGCCTGCCTGCCTGCCTGCCCTGAAGGCGGGCTCGCCATTCGCCGCCGTGCGCTCGGCCCTCCCAGGTGGGCCCTGGCGTGGGCCAGCGTGGCTCTTCTCGTGGTCTCTTCCCAGTACATGAGGAACTGCATCACCATCGGCCGCCTGCCCCACCTGATGCTCATGAGCAAAGAGAGCCTCTACAGCCAGCTGCCCGCCAACGTGTTCGTGCTGCCCTCCTACGCGCGCCGCTCGGCCACCGCCTCGCACGTGAACGGAGACGTCCCCACCAAGTCCCTCTGGTCCATCAACAGCCTCCTGCGCATCAAGATCCTCTGCGCCACTTACGTGAACGTCAACATCCGGGACATCGACAAGGTTGGGAACGCACCGGCCCGGCGGCTACCGGGGTCTCCCCGAACAGGAGCCGGGCGGCCTGGGCTGTGAGGGGCCCCCAAGTGGTGCCGGCCCTGGGGGTGACTGTCCCCGTGTCCCTGTGGGCGCGTGTCTGCGTGGCGGCCCCGGCGCGGGGAGGGCGAGGCCGAGCTGCAGGGCGTCCTCAGGGCAGCGGTCAAGCGCCACAGATAGCGCTCGGAGCTGGACGTCTGGATTCTCCAAGGCGGCATGGGGCCCCTCCTCCTGGAGCCGCCAGCTGCCCCCCAGTTAAGGCAGGGCTGCTGTCCGGCCTGGCGGGCCTGCGGCGTGACGGGCTGGGGCATGCCAGTGCAAGCTCCTCCCGCGTGTGGGTTCCGGTGAAGCGACGGCGGCCTCAGCAGTGGCGTGTACCCGGAGGGACGCTGGGCGTGATGGGGGCCATGGGGAGCGGAAGGGGCCGGGAAAGGGGACGTGGGGCATCCCGTTTCTTGGACGCCTTCAGCAGCGTGACCGAGAAGGTGCAGCGGGCGCCGGGCATGGCAGCCGGCCTGGCTCGAGCGCCCCCTGAGGAGGTGGGGAGCCCTGTGGTTCCGCTGAGGGAGGAGGGGGCTGGAAACGCTCGGCCGGGGGGGCCCTGACCGCGGCACGCCTGCGCTCTCCTCTCCTAGATCTATGTCCGGACGGGAATCTTCCACGGCGGGGAGCCCCTCTGCGATAACGTGAACACCCAGCGCGTCCCTTGCTCCAACCCTCGGTAACCGTGGCAGTGGGGGGCCGGGGGGGCCTGGGACACCGCCTCGCGCCGAGTCGGGCCTCCCACCCGCCCATCCTCCACGGAAGGAGCGGTCCTGCGCGTGGCTGGACGGGCAGAAGCGGGGCCCTGCTACGCCAGGCAGGCCTGTTTTCTGCCCAGGCATCCATACGGTTGCATCCCAAAGCCATTTTAGCCTGCTCTCTATCCCAGGCGCCAGGGAAGTGCAAAACAGGCCTAAACGGCAACATTTGCTGCAGTATTTTATGGTTGGATTATAGAATAATATCTAAATGGAAAGAAATCGAGGGTATATAAAACGGAGGAGACTGAGCAAACCGGCTCGGCACGTTGAAAGCAGCTGCCGCAGCTCTCCGGGCTCCAGGCGGTGCCTCTCCTGGCCGTGCCCAGAGATGCCAGCGGGGCCCCTCGGGGCCTCCTGTGCCCCGCCTGCGGCCCGCCACCGAGCCACGGCCGTTCCTCACGGGGGAGGAGGGCAGCGAGGGTTGCGGGCCTCCCGGCCGCGAGGGGGCGGCTGGCAGGCCGGAGGCGGCCGTCGCCTGACGCCGGCGTTGTGCCGCCAGGTGGAACGAGTGGCTGTCCTATGACATCTATCTCACTGACCTGCCGCGCGCCGCGCGCCTTTGTGTTTCCATCTGCTCCGTGAAGGGACGGAAGGGGGCGAAGGAGGTGAGTCCCCCCGGGAACAGGGCCCAGAAGACGCCTGGGCTCAAGTCGTGCTCGGGCTGAGTCCTGGCGCTCGCTCGCTCGGTCTTCGGGGAGGTGGAAGGGTGGGAAAGAGGAGGGCCCGTGGCCCCGCCGGGTGAGGGGACCGGGGTTGCTGGCCGGGCGTGGTGGCGCCCTGGGACTGCTCCTTTAGGAGCTCAGCATCCTCCGGGAGCCAGGTCTCGGGGGTGGGGCCCCTGCTCTGGATTGTGCCCCTCTCGCGCCTGACTCGGCCCCTCCTGGTCTCTCGCCTGCTGCCAGGAGCACTGCCCCCTCGCCTGGGGCAACATCAATCTCTTCGACTACAAAGACACCCTTGTGGCGGGGAAGATGGCGCTCAACCTGTGGCCAGTTCCCCACGGCCTGGAGGACTTGCTCAACCCCATTGGCGTGGGGGGCTCCAACCCCAACAAGGTGAGGCGGGGCAGCGTCTCCGACGGGCAGGCCTCTCGCCAGCCTTCACGGGGGGCCAGTCCTGCCCATCTTTCGCGGGTGTGGGAAGCGGAGGCTCAGAGGGACGGACTTGGTCGAAGGAGCTCGCGCGAGATCTCCGAGGAGGGACGTTCAGACTGGCTGCTGGCCGTGCCTGCTTTCCTCCTCCACCGCGTCCCCTCTCGGCCCACCAGCGACCTCTGCCCTGCCCCTCGTGTCCCTTGGGGTCCCCGGGCTGGCTCGGAGCCTTCTCGGCAAGCGGAAGCGGCGGCTGCTCGTCCCCGCCCGGCCCGGCACGTACTCGGGGAAGCTGCTGTCGCTGCAGGCCCGGCCGGCGATGCTCGAGCGCCCGGCCACAGCTTGCCCAACACGGCCCTCCGGCACCTGGTGCCCCCCGGTCTGGGCCAGGGGGGCCACGCTGAGCACTTGCGTGGGGTGTGCAGAGAGCGCCCCCGACGCCTTGATGTGCCGGCCGCGTGTTCCGTGTGCAGGAGACCCCGTGCCTGGAGCTGGAATTCACCTGGTACAGCCACACGGTCAAGTTTGCCGACGCCACCGAAATAGAGGAGCACGCGAACTGGACCATGTCGCGGGAGCTGGGGCTCAACTACTGCATGGTGGGACTGGTAAGGGCCTCTCCCTGCCGCCGGCACTTGGCCGCTCAGCCCGTGCGTGGCCGGCGGGCGCCGGTCTCGGCCTGCTCTGTTCCGGAGCTCCCTTCCGGCTGCCCCGGGGGGCCAGAAACCGGCCTCGGAGCCGCCACGCTCGCCCCGCGGCGTAAGCACCCTGGGGAGGCCTGCCCGGGGGCCGCGGGGGCGCTGCCCCTCCAGGCTCGGGCAGCCCTCGGTCCTTTCGGGCCTGCCCTCTTGCGGGCCCCCCGTTCAGGCAAGGCACACCGGCCACCCGCCCTCGGCCAGCACCCGCCTGGCCCTTGTGGACCCCAGCGATGGGTCATGCTGTGCCGGGGCCCCCCAGCTGGTCCCAGCACCCACCTGGTGCGACATTACGCGCTTCTGTGGGCCCCCTGGTTTCCGCGGCGAAGCCTTCCCTACTTGGGAAAGCCTGTATTTTTAGTGAGCGGGAAAGCAGGGCACGGGCTTCCTCCACGGCTCCCACGGCAGAGCGATCCGGGGCAGCCCTCGCCCAGAGAGCCGGCGTGGTGGGGTGAGGGGCTGAGCTGGGGGCCTGGGAGCCCGGGCGCCAGCCCCGCTCGGCTGCCTTTGAGCAGCGCCGCTCCTGCGCCTGCCCTCACCCTCCGTCTCTGAAGCCGAACGGTCCCGGGTGTGGCAGCTGCTTCTCGCAGCCGGCCGCTCAGCCCCCTCCGTCGTCCGAACTGCCCTTTCTTGCTCCGTTCCCAACCCAGCCGTGTCCTTTTCGGATACGGCGACCAGGGCTGCCTGCAATGTTCTAGGTGCAGCTGCACCAAAGACTTGTATAAAGGGAGTACGATCTTGCAAGCGGTATTTGCAGTTCCTTTTTTAATTATGTTATGTGCTGCGTAACTTTTTCACTGAACTGTCTACCACAACAGATCCCATCAGCCTGTACTTGAAGATGGGATGTTTTGCCCGCCATGTTCTTTGTGAGCCGCCCCGAGTCTTTGTTGCGATGGGGGCGGCATAGACATGTTTTAAATAAATAAATGTTGATGCCGGTTCTCCCATCCCAGAGAGACTTGCTTATTTTATTTATTTAAATCTTTTCTAGACCGTCCCATTACCGAAGTCTCGGGACTCTTTAACAGTACAACATGTAAAATAAAACACACCTTTGGATCTCTCACAATCCCACGTTTGGTGTCATCCGCAAGCCCGGCACGTCCCTGCTTACTCCTAATTCGAGGCCATTCATGAATTGGTTAAAAAGCACCACTGCGTAATGCAGAACCCTGCATGGCCCCTCGGTTTATATCCCTCCGTTGGGAGAAATTGTCCTTTCCTCCCACGCTCTGCTTTCTGTTATTCACCCGGCTACTGATCCATAAAAGGACCCCCCTCCTTTCATTCCACAACTGTTAAGTTTGCTGAGGAGCGTTTGGTACGGGGCTCTGTCAGACGCCTCCTCACAAGAGGAAGAAGGGTGGGAAGTCAGTGCAAACAGCAGCGGAAACACGGGGAAGGGGCGTCCCAGGCCTCACGTGCGCCTCTCGCCACAGAGCAACCGCCTGGCCCGAGACAGCTCCCTCGACGAGAGCGAACTGGAGCAGCTCCGGAACATCTGCAACCGGGACCCCCTTTCGGAGATCACGGAGCAAGAAAAGGACTTCCTGTGGCGGCACCGGTGTGTGGGCCGCGGCTCCGGGCCCGCTCCGCTCGTGGCAGTGGCTTCGGCTTCGGGGGGCTGCCGAGCGGCGGTGGCACGTGGGTAGGGTGCCCGTGGCCGGTTCCCAAGCGGTGATCGAGCCTCTCTGCACACTCTTCCTTTCCGCAGGCACTACTGTGTCAACATACCGGAGACCCTCCCCAAGTTGCTCCTGTCTGTCAAGTGGAATTCACGGGACGAGGTGGCACAGGTGAGGCCGCGCAGGGGCGGCAGCCCAACCCCGAGCCATCGGGGCCAGTACTGGCCGCGCTGACGGGCAGCTCTGCCTTTCCAGGGCTGCGGGCAGAATTGTCCTCGCCCCGCGCGGAAGTGGTGGTGAGTCGGCTGCGAAAAGGCCAGGCCGTGTGGTGCGGGGCAGGTGCCTCTTCCGGCTCCCCACAGGCTCAGGCTTTTCTGTCCCCCCCCCCCCGCCGCCTGCCCCACAGATGTACTGCCTGCTCCGGGAGTGGCCCCTGATCAGGCCCGAGCTCTCCATGGAGCTCCTGGACTGCAACTTCCCGGACCCGGCGGTGAGGGAGTTCGCCCTGAAGTGCCTCGTGAAGGGCCTCACGGACGACAAGCTCTCCCAGTACCTCATCCAGCTGGTGCAGGTAAGCGCCCCGCAGGCCGGGCAGTGGGGGCCCCCCAGGCCAAGCAGGGCCGCCTCGGTCAGCCGTGGGGCGCCCGGCCCACGGCGAAGCACGCGCCGCCCTCCCCGGCCCGGCCATCACACGGGGGGCTCTGGGCGCAGAACGGGCAGGCGCGGCGTGCCCAGCCTGGAGCGGGGTCCTGGCCACGGGGGGCAGGGATGGGGGCTTGGACCCCCTGCTGCAGCCCCCTCCAGCGACGGGGTGGAATCGCGGGGCTTGCGCCTTTCGTTCTGGGGGCCTTTTGGGAAGCACACGAGCCGAGTTTGGACAAGGGATGTTCCCCAGCTGCGGAAGGAGGAGGCGAAAGGCTCCGCAGGGTGGGCAGGGTGGGGGCGAGCTGCGAGCTCCCGTGCGGAGTGAGCCAGAGCGGGCGGTGCAGCTGTGGTGGACGGGGCCGGCCCGGCCCAAACGGGCTGCGGGAGACCTGTGCGCGTCTGGGGGGCCCGCGAGCCATGCGAACTTGACCGGGACGCGCGGCCCGGGTCGGCCCGTCCTCCTCCTGCCCTGCAGGGTCGGAGGTGCTGTGGGCGCCCACGAGCACCGCCTGCCTTGACGTCCTGCCCCGGCCCCGAGACCGAGGCCGAGTGCCTTTGCCGTTAGCCCTGTGGGCAGTGAAGTCGCTGTTTCTGAGCAGGCCTGCAGGACTGCTTGTAAAGCTGCCTCACGTGTGGGTTTTTCAAATCCTGCCGCGTTTCTCTTGTCGGTGCCGGTTTTACTGAATGCTGTTGTGCTTTGTTGCATTCATCATAACCTGGCTTGCTGGCTGCTGTAGGGAAAGGGAGAGACATGCCATGAGCTAAACCTTATCCCTCCTTCCCTCCTTCCTTCCCTCCCTTCCTCCCTCCCTTCCTCCCTCCCTCCTTCCTTGCCTCCCTCCCTTGCCTCCTT